ACCTCTACACATGTGTGTGGCATGCACTTAAATACACACAATAAATGGATGTAAATAATTACAAAATTTAAAAAAAGATTCACCTATTTTATGTGTGTGAATATTTTGCCTGCATGTAGGTATGTGCACCATGTGTATGCCTGGTGCCAGAGGAGGTCAGATCTGGAACTGGAGTTATGGATGGTTGTGGGTGCTGGGAACTGAACCTGGGTCCTCTGCAAGAGCAGCAAGTGCTTTTAACCTCTGAGCCTTCTCTCCAGCCCTGTAATTTTTTTTTAAAGAAAGGTGAGTGTAGTTATTGTTTTTCTATTGTGATAAAATACCATGACCAAAGCAACCTGTAAAAGAAAGGGCTTCCGAGTTGGGTATGGTGGTGCACACCGTTGATCTCAGCACTCGGGAAGCAGAGGCAGGTGGATCTCTGTGAGTATGGGACCAGCCTGGTCGATAGAGTGAATTCCAGGATAGCCAGGGCTGTTACACAGAGAAACCCTGTCTCGAAAAAAAAAAAAAAAAAAAAAACCAAAATAAATAAAAGGAAGGAAGGAAGGAACGAAGGAAGGAACGAAGGAAGGAAAGGTTTACTTGGGCTTACAATCCTGGGAGTTTAAAGTCCATGATGGCAGAGTGAGGGTACGGTGGCAGGAACAGCTGAGAGCTTATATCCTGAGCTATGAGCAGGCGGCAGAGAACACATTGGGAATGGCACCAATCTTTTGAAACCTCAAGTGAAACCCCTCCTCCAACAAGGCCACACCTTTGTGTGTGTGTGTGTGCGCGCGCGTGCATTGGTGTTTTGCCTACATATATGTCTGTGTGAGGGTATCGGAGCCCCAGAACAGGAGTTACAGACAGTCGTGAGCTGCCATGTGGGTGCTGGGAATTGAACCGTGGTCCTCTGGAAGAGCAGTCAGTGCTCTTAACCGCTGAGCCATCTGTCCAGCCCCCATGGCTCACACCTCTTAATCCTTCCCAAACAACTACCAACTGGAGACTAAGTAAACTATATGAGTCTATGGTTCATTCAAACATCCTCATTCAAACAACCACAGTGGTAGACCTTATTAAGACTATACAGTGACGTGTCAGAACTAGGATCAGAACCCCAAATCTTGCACTCATTTTCTGCCATTGTTTCCATGTGTGTGTGCAGGTTTGTGTGCCTGTGTGGTTACTAGCTGTGGAAGCCAGAGGACAGCCGTGGCTGCTGTTCCTCAATTGTCACCCACCTTGGTTTTTGTTTGTTTGTTCTTGCTTTGAGGCAGGCTCTCACTGGCCCACAACTCACCAAATAGGCTCGCTTGGTTCACCAGTGAGCCGAGGGTTCTTCCTGTCTTCATCTCCCTAGCCCTGAGATGACAAGCACCTACCACCATGATTGGTATATATAAACACCACTCCCACCCCACCACCCCTGGGTCCTGATGACCAAACTCAGTTCCTCCTGCTTCTGAGACCTTGGTCTTCATCTGCTGCCAAATCAAGGAGATCTGCTTGAGAGGCAGCAGATGGGGCTAAGATGAGTCTCACCTTTCCCAGCCTTCCCTGGAGAGCTGTTCCAGGCCCTCAGAACACACTTGGAGGCTGTGATGGTTCTCAGGTGCCACTGAGCAGCCCTCATGGTATCTTACAGTGGATTCTACTGAAAGGCAGATCTACCTTCTGTACTGGGGTTTGCTACTTGAGCACACACACACACAGAAGGGTCACCTTTGTCCCCGTGGCCTCCCCAACAGGCATTCCATGCACTATTAAAGGAATTGTCCAATGCACAGATGAACCTACTGTATACAAGGACACCTTCAGTTGCCCATCATATAAACTTAGCTAGACCTGGATTAAGGGGGAAAAGGTCAGCCCATCTAGGTCTGCAGCTTGCTTGAGGCCTATCTGGATCCAGGAACTTAGCTGACATTTTTAGGGCGCTGTGACTCTCACTTTTGTCCTTTCTATAGGAGGTTGGGCTAGAGAGATGGTTCTGTAGTTAAGAGCATGTGTTGCTCTTGCAGGGAACCTTGAGTTTGGTTCCCAGCACTCACACAAAGGCTCATAGCTGTCTGTAACTCCCGCTTCAGGGGATCTGACACCCTCTTCTGGACTCTGTGGGCACCTGCACTCACTTGTGCATACACACACATGTACAAACCCACATGCAACTATACATCCCCCAAAACAAATCAGGCTGGAGAGATGGTGCTGTGGTTAAGGGCACTTGCTGCTCTTGCAGAGGACCTGAGTTCACTTTCTAGCACCCACATGATGGCTCACAACAACAACAACAACAACAACAACAACATAATAATAATAATAATAATAACAACAACAATCTTTTAAAAAGAGACTGGGGTGATGCCAGTGGTTATGGTGAGGGCAGACTCCCTATTGAGTACCCCCGGGCCCAGGGCTTGTTGGCCCAGAGCCCATTGGCAGTCAGGTTTGCTGTTCTGAATGTATAGGGTAATGAGTCTTGGGTGATTTCTTGAGAGTGCCCTTGGGTCCTAATTCTGCTGGGTTTGGATAAACTTGCAGTAGCTTCCAGGTGAAGGTGGCTGCCCCTGACTTACAGTGTCTCTCCAGGAGGCCAAGGTTCTCGGAAGTCTTTCTTGGGGGGCTCCATGGAGTTTCTAGGCTGAAATTAGAATGGGGGTTTTCCTGGGTCCAGAATGGAGAAAAGGATGAAAGGGAGCAAGCTTAGTATCCACTCTGGAAGTCTCTCATGGACCCTCTGGAGTGAGGGACAGCTATGCTCCGGGAGAAACATAATTAGTATGATCAGGAGAGAACTCTTGGGTTCCCACACATTCAACAGACATTCACAAGTGTTCCTGGGGGTGAGCCCCAGGAACAGGAAGTAGCTTGAGGCATGGGAAGGCATCCTAAGAGGAGCCTTGAGTGTCAGGTAGAGGAATGGAGGTCTTCTCTTGTAACTACTGGGGAGCCGTGACAGATTTGCCAGCAGGGGAGGACATGAGCCTGAGTCCTGTCTTAGGTCTCAGGAGAAGAAGGCCCCTGAGAGAATGAGTTTGGTAGGAGGTGATATGTGGGACGTATGGGGTCAGTGAAGAGATGATGGGCAAACACAGCGGTGAGAAGGCTGAGAGATATGGAGTCCAAGAAGCATTGACAGACTCCGGGTTTGTTTTTGTTTCAAGACAGGGTCTCTTGTTGCCCAGGCTGGCCTTGCACTCACTATGTAGCTAAGGATGACCTTGAACTCCTGATCTTCCTGCCTCCACCTTAGAGTGCTAAGATTACAGTTAGGTACCACCACCCCTGCTGTATGAGGGGCTGGAGGTTGAGCCCAGAGCTTCATACTCGCTAGGGAAGCCCTCAACCGACAGAGCCACGGCCCAGCTCCCAGACTTTGCTTCTGTCTAGGGGGTAAAAGAGGACAGAAGACTTAGAAGCTGGTAACTGTAGGTTTTGGCTTCCTATGGCACATAGCCAGTAGTCCAGGCAGCTGCCTGCTAGGTTTTCCTGCTGGCTGACTGTGGCCCTTTTGTCCGGCAGGAAGTGGTATCCCCAAGGGTGCCTCTGTGAATCGGAGCTGCTGACTCAGCACCCAGACAGGGAAGCTTTGAGGCCACCAGACTGTGGACTGGAAGCATCTGGAGAGGAAGTGGCTGCCCAGGCCTTCTCCACAGTGGACTGTGGACAGCCAGGGAAGGGGGTGACTGGCCAGGAAGCTGGGTTTGGCTGAGGGACTCCCTCTGTGCAGCTTCCTGGCATCGGGAGTGGGGGAAGGTGTGTGTGGATAGGATGGAAGGGCTGTCCCTGGCTACTTGAGGCTAGATAAGATGCCTGGCTGTAGGTAGGATTTTTTCTAAGAAGGGTAGAAAGGGATTGCTGCAGGATTGGGCTTTTTCAGCTCTGTTCAGTGACAGATGATGTGACACTGAGAAACTCATGTGTTTGGGTTTGTTTATGTATTTATTTGTTTGTTTCCCCTGCAAAAAATGTGACCAAGGTATATGATCTGTCACTGGAGATGGCCAGGAGGGTATAAAATGTTCATGTTCTTGCTAATCATCGTTAGGTGGGACAGATGGACATGGGTCACATGGCTTGAGCAGGCAACAGTGAAGGATATAAGAAGTGAGGCACCTGGGGGAAGCCAGAGTACAAGCTGAACCCAGGGGAGTCTGGGACGCCTCTGGCCCAGGCCTGATCTATCCCAGCACATCACCTCTGGCTCAGCTCTGACAGCGACACCAGCTCCGCCCCTGTCCTCTCTCATTCCTGCTGGGTCTTGTTGCTTGGTACCTATGCATTAAAGTAGCAGATGTTCCTCCCAAACTCCACATCCATACATCCTGCTGCTCCTAGAACTCTGCCCTGGGCTTTTTCTGCACACACGCTCCTAACCTAACACACCCTAGACCAAATGCTCCACATTTCCTGTCTCAGTGATCAGGGCTCAGAACCAACCGTCCTGACCAGTGCCTTCCTCATTTCCTACACTCTTAAGTGCTGTTGTTTTGTCCACACCTGCTTTGCCGCTTGGCTGGCTTCTCTCTCTTCTGCAGATGCTCTCATTAGCCCTCTCAATGCCGTTTCTCTATTCCAGAACCCTCAGTGGCTCCCGGCTCCCTTTAGGATACAGTATACTTTTTTTTTTTTCTGTTTTTTTCCAGACAGGGTTTCTCTGTGTAGCTTTGGACCTTTCCTGCCTGGATCTCGCTCTGTAGACCAGGCTGGCCTGGAACTCACAGAGATCCGCCTGGCTCTGCCTCCCGAGTTCTGGGATTAAAGGCATGTGCCACCACTGCCTGGCTTAGGATAGAGTATACTTTTCAAGCTGAACCCTGAGTTTCTCTAAAACCTGCTCTTTTACTCTCCCATCAGGCCAAGTGACCTGGTCACAGCCTGGACCCCAAGCTCATCAGCCTTGTCTTGCTGGCTGCCTGGCAACTTCCCTGTTAGATTTGGATGGTCCTGAGGAATTCGGAAGGTGTTGAGTAGGAACTTTGGAGACAAAGGCCTCTCTTCCTCTTCCACAGGCAAGAGCAGCCATCCGCCACGGAGAGCCCAGCTGTCAGCTGCCTCACAGGAAGATGCTGCGTGGATGGCGTGGCCCCAGTGTGGGTGTGTGTATGCGCACGGCCCTGGGAGTGCTGTACTTCTGCCTCACAGGTGAGGGAAGGGTTTGCGGTCATGGCAGGGCATGGGGATGCCTACTCCTTCCTGGGTTCCTGCCAGGCTGGCCCTGTCATGAAGAATCATACTGATTTCCATCTTTGGATCCACAGGCAATGTTCTTCACCTTAGTCTCTACTTTCCCATCTGTGAAATGGGACTTCAGCTCTGCATACTATGATAATTCAGGTTCTTGAACACACTGAGTAATCTCTCTTCAGGACCCTTCTACATAGGGCTTCCTCTGCCCAGAATTTTCTGCCCTCAGACAGAGAGGCATGAGTCCACTCTTTATTTTGTTGAAAGCCTTTGCTCAAATGACATGTCCTCAGCATGCTTCCTTGGCTACTTTGTATAAAACAACATAGCATCCTCTCCCTTCCTATCCTGTGTCCATGACATCCTTCCTAGCATTTCCCTCCACTTGACATATGGTTCCTTGTGTATTGGCTGTTGTCCTCCTGCTCAGAAGACAGAGTCTATCCTCAGGGATGGGATGGATGCTTGGTATGTTGTCAGTGCTCAGTCACCATGATGAGTAAATGAAGGTACTTCCCACATAGTGCTTGGCTAAGTAAATGCCCTGTTTGGGCATTCAACCCATGGAGAAAACAAAGCTGAGTGTCTGGTGCCATCTAGTGGTCACCAGAGGCAACACTCATCTCTAGCCCTAAGAGTTGATTTTTTTATTTTTGTTTGTTTGTTTGAAACAGAGTCTTACTAGGTATCCCTGGCTGTCTGGAACTCACTATATAGACAGGCTGGCCTCCAACTCACAGAAATCCACTTGACTCTGCCTCCTGAGTGCTGGGATTAAAAGCGTGTGCCCAGCCTGGTTCTCACTTCTTTAGAAAGAAAGGACTTTGGGTGACTTAAGTTCCACGTCCCAGATGTCCCTTGCAAGGGATACCTTGGTTTAGTTGGCAAAGATGAGAACTAGTCTAAGCTTTCATGGGGTGACTGAAAGATATGCAGGCCCAGCTTCAACCTCTAGACATCACATACTAAGAAAGTGTGGAATTCCCTGTAAAACACTTACCACGGAACAAATACAGTTTACAAAGCCTTCTGTGGGTGCTGTATTCAGTCAGCTTCATTTGAAGGTTGTGCATCACATATTTTGAGTGTGCCTGCTTCCTGTGGGTGCCTAGAGTGCTCACCTAATCACTGTGACCACACACGGCACACTCCCCAGCCCCTTCCTGACTTCTCAGAGCCTCTGAGGGAGAGATGAGTCCAGATAGAGGTTCCTGGCAGGGAAGCTGCTGGGAAGTCAGGGATAGAGGGCACAGGTGCCCGCAGAGGAGCCAGTTCCAGGGCCCTTTTCTCTGGGAGGTTTCCTTCAGGATGGAGTCATCTTGGGATTTTATGATTTACATTCTGTTATGTAGTTGCTTTTCTATAGCTGTGACAAAACGCCATGGCCAAGGCAATTTATAAAAGAAGCATTTCATCTGGGGTCTTGTTTACAGTGTCAGAGGGTGAGTCCATGACCATCATGGCAGAGAATGTGACAGCAGGAAGGCAGGCATGGCACTGGAGCAGTAGCTGAGAATGTACATCTAATCCACAAGCACAAAGCAGAGCGAGGGATGGCCTGGGCTTTGGAAACCTCAAAGCCCCACCCCCAGTGACACACCTCCTCCAACAAGGCCACACCTCCTAATCCTTCCCAAACAGTTCCACCAACTGGGGATCAAGCATTCAAACATATGAGCCTATGGGGGCTGTTCTCATTCAAACCACCACGACATTGATAATTCTGACTGCATCTCAGATCTGGATGGTTCTACCACCGCTCTTCACTTTTTTTTTTTTTTTTGGTTTTTCGAGACAGGGTTTCTCTGTGTAGCTTTGCGCCTTTCCTGGAACTCACTTGGTAGCCCAGGCTGGCCTCGAACTCACAGAGATCCGCCTGGCTCTGCCTCCCGAGTGCTGGGATTAAAGGCGTGTGCCACCACCGCCCGGCTTCACTTTTTTTTTTTTTTTAAAGACAGGGTCTCACTGTGCAGCCCTGGCTGGCCTAGAACTTGCTATGTAGCTCAGGCTGGCTTTGAATTGACAGAGACTCTCCTGCCTCTGCCTCCTGAGCGCTGGGATTAAAACCTTGTATCTGACTCCTATGCTAACCGCCTCCTGTGGCCTTTCCTCCACTGTATCACTTCTTACGAAGACCTCTGAAGTGGCCCCCTGACCACTCACCCTCATACTCTTTTACAACATCGTCTCCCTTTGTAGAGGAGCCAGGGTGAACTGCAGGCTTTGCTACCCACATTGCATCTAAAACTAGTGCCCTCCTTAGTGCTATGCCCTCGAAGGCAGGGAAATCCCAGGTTTCTTCCAGTGTCTCTCAAAGCCCTGTCTGGCCCGCCTCCAGTGGGATTCCCACTGGGTTACCTTCCTGTACGCTCTTACTGGCCCCCTACCTCAGGGCCTTTCTATCTGCTGGTCCCTCTCCCTGGCACCTGCTCTGTGTTTACACAGAGCTCATGCTTCTCACCTTATTTAAAGACGTGGCTGTTCTTTCTTGTATAGAAGTTAAGTATGTTTATTTAGGAAGTGAAGAGAAGAAAAAGTACCCGTGAAGTTCTCTCACCCAAAGACAATCACTAAGAACATGGGGTGTACACCTTCCGTAGGCATCTCTAATTATATGTATACCTCTAATTACATGAATAGTATGTATTTGTGGGGAATGCAAGTGACCTGGCAGGTGGAGGGTACCTGCTGGGCTTGAAAGCTGTCTCTTTGCTGAGTCCCTGGCTTCTTTTCTTCTTTCTTTCTTTCTCTTTTTCTTTTATGGTACTCCCTCTTTTTACTTTTCTCCTCCCTCCCTCCCTCCCTCCCCCCCTCTTTTGGAACAGAGTAGATCCAAAGCTGGGCAAGTGCTCTAACACAGAGGCACATCCACAGCCCTTCCCCCTCCCCCCATAGTCTAATCACGAGCTGATAAATATCTGTGTTCATCACAAACTGCCTGTCTCTCCCATTAGGATGTAAATAAGCTCTAGGGTGCGACCTGGGTCTTGGGCCTTTTACATTCCTAATTCATGTTGACAGATAGCTGCTCACAATGAGGAGCATAGATCTGGAAGTTACTTTGAGCCTCAGACCTAAAAGGAAGGCTGTGGGAAGCCTAGAGACAGCTGTGGAAGGAGAGAGACCCTGAAAACCCCACCTTTCCTAACTGCCCTGGCCCCTCCGACTCACCCCCAGGAGCTGTGGAGGTCCAGGTCTCTGAAGACCCTGTGGTGGCCCTGGTGGACACGGACGCCACTCTACGCTGCTCCTTTTCCCCGGAGCCCGGCTTCAGCCTGGCACAGCTCAACCTCATCTGGCAGCTGACCGACACCAAACAGCTGGTGCACAGCTTCACCGAGGGCCGGGACCAAGGCAGTGCCTATGCCAACCGCACAGCACTCTTCCCTGAACTGCTGGTGCAGGGCAACGCGTCCTTGCGGCTGCAGCGTGTCCGAGTAACCGACGAGGGCAGCTACACGTGCTTCGTGAGCATCCGGGACTTTGACAGCGCTGCTGTTAGCCTGCAGGTGGCAGGTGAGTATGGAGAGGGGGCGCCTTCCGCTTCCACCCTTCACTCTCCTGCATGTAGCTGCTCACACACTGCTGCACCACAAATGCCGCTCCGCTCCGAGCAGCCTCGTGCGTCCTTTCTGCCACTGTATCTCCTGCACTGATGTTGGTAACCCCTGCCCTCTGCTACCCTCCAGCCTGCTACTCCAAGTCCAGCATGACTCTGGAGCCCAACAACAACCTGGGGACAAGGGGACGGTCATATGCTCCAGCTCCCAGGGCTGTCCTCAGGTTTCAGTGTTCTGGCAGGGAATACCCTTGACTGGCCATGTGACCACATCATAGATGGTCAAGGAGCAGGGCTTGTTTGCTATGCACAGCATGCTTAGGGTGGTGCAGGGTGCTAATGGCACCCACAGATGCCTGATCCTCAACCTGGTGTTGCAGTAGGATGTATACAGTTCAGTCACCATGACAACCCACAGAAGCCCCATGGGTTTTTTATTTTTTTGGTCTTAAATGGCACCTTAAAGGGAGGTTATTATAGTCTGTCAATTGCATTTGAAGTTAAAGGAAGTTAGTTCCCTATGTTCAATCTCCCAGACAATGGAGATACCTGAGAGAGATAGGAGAACGATGGGGCAGGGGACTCCAAGTCGTGTGGAGTCAGTCACTGGTCGAAGGCCTTCTTGACCCCACCCCGACTCCAAGGCTGTAGACATTTCTGGGAAGGATGGCGATGCATCTGGGTCAGCAGAAAGTCACGGGACAGGAGAGCCAAAGGAGCTCTGCTGGGGAAGGGGTTTGCTCTTGCTGGAGCTCTTGACAGTCCCATTGTGTCAAGTCTGGACCGCAGGGATGGATGGCTCTGTTCAGACAAGGCCAGCCTGCTGTGAAAATCAGGTATGAGACTCCATCTGTCTAGGGGGAATGAGAGGGCACACGGCCCGTTGTAGAAGAGGCTGTGGAGCAGCTGGAGAGGCCCCTTACTGTGTTGTCTCTAGGATTCTGACCCAGGAGGCATGGAGGTCTAGGAAGATCCTGTGGTGGCCCTGGTGGACAGTGACACCATTCTATGCTGTTCCTCCCTCAAGCCTGGCTCCAGCCTGGCACAGTTCAATCTCATTTGGCAACTGATATATACCAAATAGCTGGTGTACAGCTTCCCCAAGGGCCGGGCCCAGGGCAGGACCTACACAAGAGTACAGCTCTCTTCCCTGACCTGCTGGTGTAGGGTAATGTGTTCCTGAGGATACAGTGCACGGATGTAGCTGGTGAGGGCAGCTTCACCAGCTTTGTGGGCATCCGGGACTTTGGCAGTGCTGCTGCTAGCCTGCAGGCAGGTGGCAGTTCAGTACCGGGACGGAGCGTTTTTCTGCTCCTTACCCAGTCTGCATGCAGCCCATCCGCTGTCCCACTGCTGATCCCACCATCAAAGAAAGCCTCCGAGCTGACTCCTAACTAACAGCCCCATGTGTCCTTTCCTCCACTGTGTGTCTTGAGCTGACTGTCACTGACCTCTACCCTTTGCCACCCTCCAGCCCCCTACTCGAAGCCCAGCATGACCCTGGAGCCCAGCAAGGACCTGCGTCCCGGGGACATGGTGACCATCACATGCTCCAGCTACCAGGGCTATCCCGAGGCTGAGGTGTTCTGGAAGGATGGGCAGGGACTGCCCTTGACTGGCAATGTGACCACATCCCAGATGGCCAACGAGCGGGGCTTGTTTGATGTTCACAGCGTGCTGAGGGTGGTGCTGGGTGCTAACGGCACCTATAGCTGCCTGGTACGCAACCCGGTGTTGCAGCAAGACACTCACGGCTCAGTCACCATCACAGGTAAGGGGAGGGGGTTAGCTGAGGAAGGACTAAGGGAGCAGCTACCCCTTTTCTAGGCCCTAAGCTGGAATGTCAATATAAAAATACTCATTTTCATGTAGATTTCAAGCATCCCAAAGCCTCCCCAGTGAGAAGTCTTTAAAGTACTTGCTTTCTTAAGCTGATGAAAATCATTTATAATGTTTGTTCTCCTGAGCATGCTTGCCATGGCACTTATGCCTCTAACTTACAGGGACCACAAAGTACCTGCCTGGAATCTAGAAGGGTGGGTAGAATTCTGGACAGCCACGAGACTTGCTTAGAGACATGGTGAATGAGGGTGTGCTTTCTAGGGGTCACTTCTTTCGTGTGAAGGAATTACAATTGCGAACCCCTGGGAGACCATGGGGCCTCCCAGGTGGATCCCACTCACCTGGGTCAACGGCAGCTCTTCTCCCTTCAGACTAGAGTGCCACAGTTGATGGCCAGAGTTGTCTCTACTGCCCCCCTGTGGTCAAATGCTAGATTGAGCCTCTAATATTGGAGAAGTCAGTCTCTGGTTTCCAAGTCAGCACTAGTCCAGGTAGGCACCTTCAGCGCTTGAGGCTGTAAAGAGGGCTCAGGCTCGCCTTCATGCCAAGGTAGACAGTCACCCTCTGTGTTTGCCCATGACATGTCTCAGCTCAGTCCTTTGGTAGGCCTGTGTGCTGGGTCTAGCTCCCGAGGCCCTACCTCTGGGCCATGTGAGCTTTCCCAGGGACCTTCTACAGCTCTGAGATCAGGACGCAGGTTGTCCATCACCGGTCCTTGTCTTTTCTCTTCCCACAACTTCTGCCTGATGCCCGCAGCCCACCCAGCTCTTTACTTCCGATGGTTGCCGGTGTCTGTGTAAACCTTAGGCTTCTCTGTAGAGAGCAGCATCGTCTAAGGGAGTCCGTTCCTGCTCTCTCATGTTCTGAGTACCACCTTGATCTTGTAGAGAACACCACAGGGGGGAAAAATGTTTCACTGGGGCTCGAGAGATGGCTCAGTGATTAAGAACACTTGCTGCTTTATCCTGAAGACCAGGGTTTACATCCCAGCACCCATATCAGGTGGCTCCCAAGTGTCTCTAACTCCGAGTGATCAGATGCCGTTTTCTGGCCTTGGTGGGTACCCTCACATACATGTGTGAACGCACACACACAATCAATCCTTTTTAAAAAGTCAAAGCAGTTTGTTCACAAGAAAGACCTAGAAATGCGGAATGAGATGGGCCCACATGTGAAGGTTTTATCAGGAAGGACAGAGGACTCATGGCGATCTTGCACCAGGGGGCACTGGGCTGTCTGTAGTACTGATGCTGTAAAGCAAGGGTTTGTATGTGGAAAGAATATTTGCCCCACTTCAGAGGACATTCTTTATACCTCAGTAGCTAGCACTGAAAGGATTTCATTTGGGCCAGCGTTACCAAGCACAGTTCATACAAGAAACTGAGGCCCAGTGAACAGGGACTCTCCCCAAACCATAGGCTAACACACATTTTGGGAGCCAGACACTTTGAAAATTGGACAGGTGATAAAGGCAATGGTTTGCCCCCAGCTTGGAGGGTCCCCAGCCTCTCTGAACTCTGTCTGAGGACCACTTTGGCTCCTGGTTCCCACATTCTGCAGCAAGCAGATGACCCAGGATCTGAGTCAGCATTGGCCTCTTAGCCCACTTTTCCCTCCTCCCCGCGGCTGGCCTCCTGTTTTCATTAGAGTGGAGCCGGCTTACCTTGGAGCCCTTGGCCTGCATTTTGCTCCGGGCAGCTCTGCCTTGTACAGCATTCTGGGATTTCGATGCTCAGTCCTCTAGCTGCTCTCCCTTACCTGATGGGGGTGAGTGACATTGAGTGTGCTGGGCTAGGCCTCTCTGGAGAGGGTTTTCTGGATCAAAAACTGTAGATATAGGTCTGAGCCCCAGCTGACTGTGTCCTTTGCTAGAGGAATGAAGGAAGTCTGACCATGTTTCAGGCAGTTGAGGGGCGAACACAGGGAGACTTTCCTTTGAGTAATTCATTTATACTAATTATATACTTAATAGACTCATTATGACAGTTCCTACATGTATAGAATGCATTTTGATGATATTCACCTCTAATACCATTTCATGTCCCCCTTTCATTCCTGCCGAGTCCCTTCCTCCACCCAACTAGTCCCCTCCTGTTTTCATTATTCTAAAACCTTTTTTATTGTGTGTGTATAAAGGTCAAAGGACAACTTTCGGGAACCGGTTCTCTCCATCCACCATGGCCTCTGGGGCTAGAACTCAGGTTGTCAGGCATTCAGAGCAGACTCTTTTCCCAGCTGAGCCACCGTGGTGTGCCCCTCCCATTTTAATGTCTATTTTTTTGTGACACAATGACTTTCATGAGGATTGCTTACAGGAGCACGAGTGAGGGATCGGTTATAGGAGCTTGGGCACTTTATCCAGAGGTTATATCACTGAAGAAAATATCTCCCCCTCCCCGAGCAACCATTGGCTGCCTGTAGCTCTTCAGGGAGGGGTGGAGTCCCTTGAGTATTTCTGCTGCTCTGCCCTGTCCACGGCTGTAGGAACCTTGTCTTGAAATTGCCAGAGGTCTCTCACAAGTGCTCCAGGCTGGCCTAGCTGTCTGCCTCAGCTGTGGCCTTCTGTTCCTCTTCTGCTTTCCCAAATGATGGCTTCTTCAGATTCCAGGGTCCAGAGCAGCCGTGTGCCCCACCCTCACCTTGTCCCTGTGAAAAGCATGTCTGCTGCAAAGGACTTACCACAGTTCCTCCAGGCCTGGGCCGCTGCAGGTGAAGGGTGTAGGGCCCTGCTGCTTGTGTGCTCCAGAGGCTGCTGATGCCCTGGCTGCATGTTGTCCCCAAAGAGCAAAACGATTAGATTTTTTTCCCCCTCCAGGGCTCTGCGCAGCACCCAGTATGGCACTAAGCTGAGGGTGGGATCTATGCTGGAGTCATGTGGGGATGCGGTTAGATCACCTGCTGGCCTCAACCTCACCTTGAGCTCCTCGACCTCCACTCATTCTCTTGACATGATGTATCTAACAGGGGTAGCCTCAGGGCTGCACATGACTATTCCCTTGGTGAGGCTCCCCCAGATCTGACTCTCACCCCAGGCCCTCATCTGTGTTTAGAACTAGGCACACGTTCTGTAAAGAGACAGAGAATAAATACTTGGTGGGCCATGTGCCGTCTTTCTGCTGATGATTTTATTTGTTTGTTTGTTTATCAGTCTGTTTATTGTTGGCAGGACAGGATCTCATTGTCTCAGTTGACCTTGAACTCAATCTGTAATGAGGATGACCTTGGGTTTCTTATTCTCCCACCTCTACCTTCTTAGTTCTGGGATCACAGGTAGCATGGGAACCCAAGCCCAGTTCATATCGATGGTGCTGGGAATCGAACCCCAGGCTCCATGTATTCTAGGCAAGCACTCTACCAACGGAGCCACATCTCCAGAGCACTGTAGCTTTTCTTTCTGGTCTTCTTTGTTTCTTTTCTTCTTCTGAAAGACCCTAGCCCTTCAGGCTTACACCCCCAAGCCTCAGAAAGAGAGAAACTTCAAGCACCAGGAGATGAGAAACTAAAAATCTAGTTCCCAGGGCAACCTGACTCAGCCACTACTCAATCACCCCTGTAACAATATAACAATGTAAAAAGATTTCTGTTAAGAGATGTGCTCAACTGTGACTGGGATAGTTGCAGGTGTTCCAGGAAGGACCACCGTGACCTGTGTGTAAGCTCCACTCCCGCCCTGATACCCCCCTTGAGGTTTACGTAACTGTACCCCTTCCGTGATCACCCTGTGATCAGACCATGAAATTGTATGGGAATTGTAATCTTATGGGTTTTATGGGTTTTTCCTTTAAAAGCTCTTATGGGGCTGCAGTAAGATGCGACTCTTGCTCTTTGGAGCAGAGTTTGCCCATCTGTACAGATGTTTCTTTAATAAAATCCTAGTGCTGTTGCATCAACTGGACTGGAGTCTGGGTTCTTGGGGCGCCCACCTGAGACCCCAAATTTTGGGGTCCGACACTTCGTTTTTTCTTTATCCTTTCTTTTTGTAGCTCTTCACAAAAATAAAAGCTAATACCAGCTAGCTCATAGATCGTTAAAAACAGGCCACCATCTGGCTCATGGGCTGCAGCTGGCTGAGGTCTGACCCTCAGGGTGATGTAAACCAGGAGGGACGGCAGCCATTAGGGAGGCCTCTGGAGAGGTGGCTCTTAGGCCAGGTGGGGAATTTGGGCGTCCCTGCTAGGAAGGGGAAATGACAGGGACTCTGCAGAGGCTGGGAGGAGTCAGGAACTCTGTGGAGAATGGCTGAAATGAGGCTTCCTGACGTTAGACAGAAAAGCTGGGAGACTAGAAGCTGGGTCAGCTGAGAGATCCTTGAGCCACTCTTAGCGAGATTATCCTTAGCCAGTGGGCCCTAGCCATGGTTATTAATCACCCTCCGGCTTCTTAGCTCCACTGCTCCCGCTCCTTCTGGGGCATGTTCCCATCACCCCTAGCCGCAGTGGCAGGGTTTGGTAGGGTGAATGGAGCTATGGCCGTGGGAGCCTGAGTGAGCTTCATTCACCTTTGTGGGGTACAGTGAGACTAGGAAACCCTGTTCACACCTTGGAACAAGATGGTCTCATTCTTCTGTCTTCTTCCAGGGCAGCCTATGACATTCCCCCCTGAGGCTCTGTGGGTGACTGTGGGGCTCTCTGTCTGTCTTGTGGTACTGCTGGTGGCCCTGGCCTTCGTGTGCTGGAGAAAGATCAAGCAGAGCTGTGAGGAGGAGAATGCAGGTGAGTGAGAGTGACTCTGTGTGTGTGTGTGTGTGTGTGTGTGTATACACATGCAGGTACGCACATGTGCATACATGCCCACATGTCTTAGGGCATGTCACTGTTTTAGTTTATTGGGTGCAGCTGTAAGAGAATACCCGAGACAGGTTCCAGTGAAAAACAGAAATTTACTGGCTTGTGTTTCTCAAGCTGGGAGTATCATATCCAGGCGGCAGGGAGAGCAGAGAAATCACTTGCGACGGAAGAGTGAAGGTTGGAGTTTGGAACTTCAGCACCCACATAAATGTCTAGTGGGCATGGCAGTTTGTCTGTAATTCCAACTCCTAGAAGAAGACAGGGCTTCCCCTGATCAAACTGATCAGCTAGACTAGCCATATCAGTGAGCTCTGGATTCGATTGAGAGACCCTGCCTTAATGAATAACATGGAGAGGGATCAAGGAAGACTCCTGATATCAGTCTTGGGCCTCCACATACATGTGCGCTCACAAGTGCACCCACACACATGTAAACAGGCATGCATGAATACCACACACTCAGACACAGGCACAAAGTAACTAAGTCAATGCCATATCCAGGCACCAGCATCTGGTGAGGCCTTACTGATCATTAGGTGGTAGAAAGTGAGAGGGCAAAGGTCACAGAGCCAGTGCTGTCTGCAAGGGTGGAGGAGCTGCCAGAGCCTAATCACCCCTTAGAAGTGTCACCTCTTTAGAAAAAAATTAATTTAAAATTAAAATTTACTTTAAATTTAAAGTTTTTGTGTATGGGTGTTTTGTCTGCATGTATGCCTGGCACTGGGGTTACAGGGTATTGATTATTAGTTGTCATGTGGGTGCTGAGAACAGAATCTTGTTCTCTGCAAGAGCAGACGGTGCTCTGAACTACTGAGCCATTTCTCCAGCCCAGAAGTCCCGCCCCTTGATATTGTTTGATGATGGCTAATTTCAGTGTGCATTTGGGAGGGAACAGACATTCAAACCGAGCAGCTGCTGTGTCCGTGACAGAATGAACGGGAAGGGGGTGCACAGAGGGCCCTAGCCTGAGACCTCTTGGCTAACTGTTCTCTGAATCAGTGTCCACCTGCCTGTCAGGGCATGAGCATGGCAAATGGGCGTAACCAAGAGTGTGAGTTGTCACGAAGATGGTGGTGTTTAAGGCTGCAGTGTGACAGGGGATGAGTATGTCTGTGGAAACAAGTATGGAACTGAGTGTATAAGTCTCGTGGGTGTGTCTGTGAGTGAGAAAAGGTTTAGAGCCTTGTGAGGATTTAGTTGGTGTGTCACTAGAAAGAGTGTGTGTCTTCCTCGGAGTGGAAGTATTCAGAGCCTCATGGTGCTACCTTCTGCTGGTGAGGGGGGTTGTGAATTGGTATTGGTGATTGTAGATGGGTGAGTGGACATTGGTGGGTGGCACAGGAATAGACGGAGGCATGAGAGCAGACAGGTAGTAGAGGCTGGAAGGTGCCTAGGTATGGAGAAGAAGTGAGGAGAGTTTGGTCAGTTGTGGGTAAGTGATGCTTGTGACTTAGATGGTTAAGTAGGCTGTGTGTGCCTGGAGAGGATGGATGGACAGACAGAAGTGGAGTGCGGAGGGACTGGGAGATAGATGACGGTCAGTAAAGTACCTGCTTTACAAACATGAGGACCGGAGTGGATCCCCAGCACCCACGTAAGTCTGGCGGGGCAGCTTGCTTCTGTAACACTGGGTAACCCTGGAGGATCCCTAACGTTCACTGGGCAGCCAGTCTAGCCGAACCAGTGAGCTCCATGTTTAATGAGGAACCCTGTCTCAAAAAATAAGGTGGAGAGTGATTGAGGGGGACACCCGATGCCAACCTCTGGCTTTCATGTGCATGCACGCACACATGCACATATTCACACCACACACATACAAAAATAAACGAAGCGGGGTGCAGATGTGATGTTGGCAGGGTTGCGAGTGAGTGGGTGTGTGGAGTCATAGGCTGGGTGGGTAGAAAGCTTGATAAGTGGTCCCTGGCCAGATAAGTGCTGGGCTTCCTGCTGGGGCCCTTCCATTCTATCCTAGGTTCGGCTCTGCTCTGGTCTCAAGCTCCAACCCTGAATTCAGCATTCAGACCAGAAGTCAAATTTGCTCAGTCCCCAGGTGTGGAGGTGTGGGAATGACAACCCTGAGAAAGTTTGTGATTCTCCCTTCTAGGTGCTGAGGACCAGGATGGGGATGGAGAAGGATCCAAGACAGGTGAGTCTGGCCCTCTTAACTGGGGGGTGGGGGGTGGGCACCTGGAATAGGAAACAGGACTACATGCTCTGAGGTTGGAATGAAGTACCGTCTGATGGAGCCCCCAACCCAGGGAAGGTCTGGAGGCAGAACACCGGCCTACCACAGGAGTCTCCTGCCTGCCCTAACCCATCCATCAGGATTGTAGCAACTGGGAGCTTCCCAGGGGTGGGAGGAGGGCTGCAGGAGAGGGGCAGTCCCTTATCGACAAAGGAGCCTTCAGCAAATAACTCTCTTTGGCCTATTTTTCCCATATCTGAAAAACGGGCATGAGAACAGGTCTCTAGGTTTTTCTGGGTTGGGTTAGATAAGATAGTCTATATAGAAGACAGTACCATGCTTGGTGTCTAGTTAAGAGCATACAGTGGTGCCCTATTGTGATAAAGCGGACAACTGTGGACAGTTCTTAGAGGCTATGAACACTAATGAAGCGCTTTGCTCCTCCGGGCTTCTGTGTTTCACATGTAAAATACCCTCTTGGCCCTGTTCTGATGGCACCTGAGAGTTGCAGTGTGACAAGGGATGATAGTCTTGGGCTGAGATCTGGTTTTAGGGTGGGTGTTGAGGTCCTAGTGCCCTACAGCTGCAGGAGTGACCAGGAGTGACCAAGCTGAGAAAAGCAAGTTTCCCATGAGCCATCTTGGACTGTTCCAGTTGACACCGGCTCCCTTCCCACCCCCATAGGAGGCAGGGCAGGAGTGATGCCTGGGGACAGCTATAAATCACGCCAATTAGTCCTCCACCTGTTGGTGCTTGTGTGGCAGGCATGGAGATGGACCTGGGATGGAGCCTCATTTCTCATGCTCAGAGGCAGATGTTGGCAGAGAGGGGAAGGGAGGGAGGGAGGGAGGGGAGGGGAGGGGAGGGGAGGAGAGAGGATGGGCTAGAGAGTTAGTCAGCCTCTAGGCCATGTGACTCTGGGCCTCTGGAGGCACCTGCAACCATGCCAGCCTCCCTTGATCCTGATTTCACCTCCTTTATGATCTGGGTTCTGTGTGCTGCCACATCCCTAGCTTGTCTGGGGACAGGTGCCTGTCCCCATTCTGTAGTAATAGGGGCCTGAGATTCAGAGAGGGAAGACACATGGGACTTATTCAGAGACGGTGGAGGTGGGACTTGTGAACTGAGGTTTGGGCTAGCTCTCTGGGCCTCCTCCCCCGGCACTGTGATGGTGCCCCCAGACTGCCCATCCCTGCCCATTCCTTCTGCATTCTCACCCTTACTTCTTCCTCTGCCTGCCTCCATAGGGCTTTTCTCTTATCACAAGCCCCTTCCTTTTTTTTCAGCTCTGCGGCCTCTGAAGCACTCTGAAAACAAAGAAGGTAATGATATATTGCCTGAAATGGAATGTGTGTGTGTGTTGTGTTTGTGTGTCTGTGTAGGAAGCTGGGGAGCAGGGCAGTCATCATCACCCTTCCGCTACTGACCTGTGCTTCCTCCCCAGAAGAATAGCAGCCACTCACCTCCTGGAGAGATGGTGGAGGGTAGAGGAGCCAAGTCCCAGCTGCTCCAATAGGCTTACCTGCACCAGACATTTCTGCCTCTCCTGTCTGAAAGCTGCAGGTAGCCTGGGGCCTGGATTCTGTCCCCTGCAACATGAAGCTTCCATCCTTGGGTCCAAAGGGTTGCTGTGGCTGCCATGCCCCCTCCAGAGGCAAGGGATGAGAAGGAGGGCAGGGAACATCTTTCTAGGGCTTGGCCAAAAATAGCTCCTGTCACTTTAGATACATCCCATTGGGCAGAGCCTAGTCACGTGACCTGTTTCTCAGGTGAGGCCAGAAATGTAGCATTCATCTGGGCAGCCACGTTTCTGGTGCATAGGAGGTGGCTAGTCAGTACGACAGTTGTTACTACTCATATGCACGGGTTCATTAGGAAGCACAGAAAATGAGAGGTCTCCTCCCTGTCATTGGAAAGTAGTGAGCACCAAAGAGTGAAGCCCTGCTGATGATAATGTCGGCCGGGTGTCTGAAGAGAGTTGCTGCCCAGAGTAGCCTCATAGGTGAAACAATGAGCTTCCCTGCTCCCCAGGGAGGTACCCTGGCTCTAGTCTGTGTCCAAGATGGATGGCTGCAGAGGCAGGCTATGACAGCTCCTTTCCTGAGGACACAGGCAGAACCCAAAGGAAGGAAGAACGTGCCCAAGGCCTTCTAAACTGCTGGTGCAAGCTGGGATGTGGAGCGGGGCCAGGGGTGTCAGACTTGGATGTTCTTCAGTAGGGAGGCAAAGTCAGAGGGAGAAGGCTCTCTGCAACATTACTCTCCAGGTCATTAGGATGGGAAGAGGCATTCCTGCCAGAGGAGTGAATTGGGCCAGGCATTGAAGGGTGAGTCAGATGGACCAAGCAGGCCAGTGGGAGGGAGTGTGTGGGGTGACTCTCCCACCTGGCTCCTGTGTACATACTGGCCTCCAGTGTAGCTGTGTAAGAAGACATATTCCTTATTCTACCTGTCCTGTACACATATTAGCCTCCAGGAGAGTGGTTAGGGGTGCACACCCCCAACCTGGATCTGTGACTTCAGATGTGTCCCCAGGAGTAGAACTTCCAGCTTCTAATGCATTTTCCCCCTTTTCCTCTCATCCTACCATGAAATGCAGATGATGGACAAGAAATAGCCTGACTGGGAGCTGCTGCCTTTCCCAGGTGGGGGGCCCACCCTCTGGCTGTGTTGAGCCTCAATGTGAGCCCTGCCCCAATGCATGGGTTCTGCTCTGGGGGTCTCCCCATTCTCCAAAGGATCTGGTACATAGGCCACCTGCAGCCTTATTTCTCTGATGGACTTAATTCCCATCATCCTGAAGCCTTATTTTCCCGGTGACACGATACATGAACCATCCTGCGGCCTTATTCCTTATGGACATGACACACAGACCGCTCCACCTCAACGTTCCTCCAGAGTCATCCAGTGACCTTGTTTCTCCAGTGACACTACACATGAACCTTCCTTCGGCCTTGTTCCTCATGGACACACGCAAACCATCCCCACCTGCTTGCTCCTCCGAAGCCACACAGACCGTGTAACTGCTGTTATTCTCCAAGGCACATAACTACTCAGACGAACCCCTGCCTTATTTATCTGAAGCCAGCTGCATGGTCACCTCTTGGTTTCCCCATGGCCCTGGTACATCTTGCTTCCCGCCCCTCAACCTTTGTTCTGACTAGTGTGGATCCCATCTCTTCAGCATCTCCAAGTCTTCATCCTGACTCACCTGCCCTGGGCTTGGCTTTGGTTATCTCCTTCCCTGGCTAAGTGTGACCGGGGCACACTCCCCATCTATCCGCACAGGTACATTGATACTCGGAGCTGCATGTGCTGGAACACGTACAGACTTGCCTTGTGTGGTCTGCTCTGGCTGCCCTGGGCTGTGCCCATTCTCCCCACAGGAAGCTGGTACTGGCTGCCCTGGTTCTCAGGGCCCCTCACGGGGTCAGCCTTCATCCCTGTGCTTTCCCATGTTTGGAATCTTTGTTACTTTTACTTTCTTAGTAAATTAATGTCTGTAGAGCAACCACAGGGGTCAGCACTGTGCTGGGTGCCAAGGGCCTGCAGAAAAATCAGAGTCCCTTGCCTCTAGACCTCACCTTCCAGCTGGGAAATGGCCTTGCTTCCTACTGTACCCACCTGTGCCCACAGCTTCTGGATACCTCACCCTCAGCCCACACTATTCCTGACACAGGGCCTGGGGTAGAGGCAGAAACCCAGAGAAAGCACAGTCCTTTGCCATACCTGGAGAACTGGGTGCTTTCTAGAATCTTTCTAGATGTGGACTGGAAGGCAGGTGGCCACAGCCATTCAGACCTGGATGGGGACAGCAGCCTATGTCATACTGGGACCTCCTCAACAGCTGGAGCCTGGGGAAGGCCAAGGCCAGGCCAAGAGGGCCTGAGGACAAGAAGGACTGCTCCTTACTTACCATGGTGCTATTCTGGACCTGGGGCTTGTACCTGGCTTGTCTCTGACTGCCCTGCCTTCTGGCAAAGCAGCCCTTCTGGTGTCCCCTGGAGGCATCTCTCCCACCCCAGTACTGCAGAATGTGAGGATAATTTAAAGATGGACTCTGGCTAGGTGTGGTGGTGCACACCTTTAATCCCAGCACTCGGGAGGCAAAGGCAGGAGGATCTCTGAGTTCGAGGCTAGCCTGGTCTACAGAGTGTCTTTCACATCTCAAAAGACACAACAAAAAACAAACATGGGACTCTGTAAACTGGGTATATTTTGGGAGAAATAAATGCCTCTGTCTTTCAATAGCTTCTTGCCTGTGATATCTGTGAAACAGTGGGGCGGCTTGGCACTAGGAGGGAGGAACCTGTCCTGGGCATTTCAGGCTGGGGTAGGGCTACCTGCTTCACCATGAAAGCATTTTCTCCACTGTGGTTCCCACTTCTCAAGCTTCTGTTGAGCTGAGGAGAAAAACACAATACAACACAACACACACACACACACACACACACACACACACACACACACACACACACACACTATTCCTGGCTGACCCCAGTGGAATGGGAACTAGCCCAGGACCTGGCTCTGCTTTGTGACACTGAGCAGGACATTGACTTTTGGATCTCAATTCTGGAGACCTTCCACTTGGGAAGTCTGAGAGGACAGTGAACTTGGAGGACAAACAGATTTCCAGAGAACCAGGTTCAGGGATAGGGGAGCCTGCAGAATGCCCTGGCATCGACACATACCCTGGCATCCTTTTTCCTTGGGCCATAGCTTCAGCACTAGGCCTTGTCAGAACATCACAAGCCACGGACAGGAGGCCGGACTGCAGTGGGGCTCAGGCTACAGAACTTTTACTCTGGCTCTGCAACCAACAAGACCATATCCCTCATACCTCAGAATACTGATGATTTCTTTATTGAATAGGGGTGAAGAGTCCTGTCCAAAAAGCAGGTAACGTTCTTTACAAACTGGATGCTTTGGGGCTGGGGATGTAGCTCAGGTGGCAGAGCGCTTGTCTAACATGTACAAAACCCTGGTCTTGATCCTTAGCACTGTTTAAATGGGACACGGTGGTGCACATTTGTATTTTTAGCACTCAGGAGTTGGAGGCAGGAAGATCAGAGTTCGAGGTCATCTGACCTACATACTGAGTTTGAGACCAGCCCTACATGGGATCCTGTCTCAAAACAGAAACATCCCAAACTGGAGGGTTGTAATAAAATTGAAGGCTCCAGTAACAAGACTTGCCTTGTTCGATGTCTCACATTTGGTGCTCACATTTCCAAGCTCTACATCCCCTGCCCCTCAGTGCCTTTGTGCACCCTGTACCCCTCCCTGGACCTCGGTCCCCACCCAGGGTCGGACAACAGCTTCGGAGGTTTGTGCTGAGGTTCAGGCAAGACTGACGGAGAAAAACATGTTGGGTACCTGTGAGGGCTGAGGCTTTCCTGCCCTGCAGCCAGTGCTACACTGTTGCTGACTTTGTGGGATGTGCAGTGACCCCGGGCCAGCAGTCCGCACCTGCTTTCCCATCTGTGTAAGAGATAACTGGTGTCTTTTCTTCCCGTCAGGCTGAGGTGGGGATCAGACATGACAATATCCCGTGCTTGAGAAGAGACCCAGCGGGTGTGGGACTGGCCTGGAAGCTGAAGGGTGAGGAAAGTGGCCACTGAGTCCCCTGATGACAAGTGCCTTGGAGAGCAGTATTTTTAGCTGCCCTTCCTGGGCAAAGCTCCAATTCCTGCATTTTAATGGAGAAATAATTCTCACAGTGCGACAAGCTGTAGCCTGCAGGTGTCACATTCATATTAAAGAGAGGACAGAGCAAGGGTTCATTTGCCTGGTTGGAGGTGTGACCGGAATTCGCCCCTAGCACCATTTGTAACCTGGCCTGTGAAGACCAATTAGTGGATCTGGCTACTCAGTCACTCACAGGGAGGGAACAGGAAGAGTCAGAATGGTGTGTCAAGCGCCCTGAGCCCCCTGTCTCTCCTAATGGCTTGTTACAGATGGTTCTGCCTGCATGTAGAGTTGAATGATGGCTAGGGGTGGGCTGTTCCCAGAGCAGCCCCTGGTCTTGTTCAGTTCCAGGATGTGGATGCTGAATGGGAACCTGTGAGCCCATGAGCAGAGACCCTGGACGATTCCAAGCTGAGCAATTTCTAGAGCTCCAGATGCAAAGCCTGTCTTCTTCTTTTTTTTTTTTTTTAATGTGTGTGTATATGCATGCTCACACCTGTGTGCACCCACACGTGGAGGCCCGATGTTGGCCTCTAGTGTCTTCCTCCATCACTCTTCACCTTCTATACTGAGGCAGGGTCACACTGGAAGAGACTCCACTGCTCACCATTTCAGCGAGTCTTACTCGGACGTTTGTTCCAGGGAGATTATAGGCAAGTCACCTTTTACGAAGGGTCTGGGGGTCTGGACTCCCCGGTCTTTACTCTTGTATGGCACACTACCCATTGAGCCATCTCTCCAGCCAGTGAAGCCAAGTCTTAAGCTGCACCATGAAGCCAGTGTTGTCCTGAGAAGCCAAGACTTCTCAAGGGACTCTAGAGAGAAGCAGGAGCCAGGCTGGGGTACCTCCTCGGAGTCCTGGGGTGCTGGTAGGCACAAATGCAAATGCAGATGTGGAGAACTGGGCTGTCCTTCCACCGCCCTTCACTCAGACAAACGGTTTGCTCTTTTTCCAGACTTTTCTCCAGGTGACGTAGTTATAAGAATGACGGCATACATCTGAGAATGTTACTCTGCGACATTTCCTGACTTTCTTTACCCTTTCCCAAGCCTCTTCCTTCTTCCTCTTTACTCTTTCCACTGATAATGGACACACCTAGCATCTAAATTCTGCAGCTCCTCAGTATGTGGGTTTATGCATTTTTACACAAGTGTCACTGTTACTTTGATCAAGATCTAGAACAATGTCGGAACCCCACAAAGTTCCCTTATGTCCTTCTGCAGGCAACAGCCCCACCCAGGGGTACCATCTGGCTGCTTTCTGGGTGGATTAGCCCTGCATCTTGAACTTAGTAGCTGAATACTACATTGATGCTATTTTGTATCTAGCTTCTAGCAAAGACTTCCTTCATTCCTTGTAAATGGAGAGGTGGGAGCTCACAGCGCCTGTTTTAGAAGTGTCTTGTCACTTCCTGTACTTTGGACACAGCTAATACAGGCTTCCATACAATAAGGTTCTGCAAGTGGGACTTCTAGGCACCTTTTATTTTATTTGGGTTGCAGGGGCAGAACATTTTGTATCCCAGACTGGCCTCAAGTTCACTATATAGCCAAGGGTGACCTCACACTTCTGATCTTGCCTCTACCCTCCAAGTGCTGGCATGATAGTGTGCACCACTGTGCCCACTTTATACAGTGCTGGGAATAGAACCCAGGGCTCCATGCATGCTACACAAACAATTCTATCAGTTGAGCTACATCCCTAGCTCTGTGAGTCCATTTGAAATGCTGGTGGAGTTGCCAGCTGTTTGAGCTGCCTTTTTAGCTAGGCCCTTGCAAGAGGAGAACACAGGGTCACTGGCAAAATAAATTCTAGAAAGGTCAAGAACAGTGTTGAGAATCCATGCTCCACCTGGGCTCTTAAGGACTCTAAGGGATAGAGCCCCAATCAGCAGTGGCCAGGACTTGTGGCCACTTCTTTCTCTTATCTCTTTGGACTCTTTAGTATTTCCCTGGGAGCTGTGTGCATTTCTGGGCTCTTGAACCTGGGCAAATATGTCTACCCACCCACTGGATATGTGGATGCAGACCTGTGGTCTGAGTATGTCAGGCTGAGCTCTGAGAGTAGAACTCTTGACCATAATTGATGAGAGGGCTCATCAGCATCTTGGATTCAGGTGCCCTGGGGAAGTGCAATCTTCTGCCTGCACTGAATCCCAAGGCATTCATAACCTGCCATTTGGCTTCACCAGCTCCAGGTTATTAAGAGACATTATTTCATTACTAATGAGGCAGGGCCTTTTTTGGAGCAGCAAAACAATCTAGGTCTTGTTGGGTAGACAGACCCCCGACCCTTAGATTGAAAGACCATTGCTTCCTACCTTTCCCAAGCATCTGTGCTGCAAAATATCCCCATCCCCCAACTTCCCTTTGCCCTTCTCGAACACTTTTCATTATTGTCCTTTCCAGATTGAGGCCCTGGCTGAGATCATACTGTGTCCACTCATAATAGATCAACCTCCTTGATCCTGCACACTATGCTCCCAGTGACAAAGCTCCAGGCCCCATTTAGTCCAGTAGACTCTGGCTGGACATTAAAATCACTTAGGGAGTTTTTAATAATAGTGGTGTTTGGGCTCCTTCCCCAGAAGTTCTGATGCAATTGGTTGAGGTCATTACTGAATATTTGATGCTCATTCTCCAGGGGCTCTAACCAGACTTTGCAAGTTAATGCAAGATGGAATTCTGAGAGAGACCCCTGAGCAGAGAGCTTTGAGAGGAGGCACCAAGACAAGCCAGCAGTTCTGTCAATCACTGCAGCTGACCAAGGGATCCTTGTTTTCCAGTGGCCAGAAGCTCAGAAAACTGAAGTAAGGAAGACCAGAGGAAGTGGTCAAATGTGTTGTAAGACCCAGGAGCTTAGCAGAAACCCCACGTTCCTGTCACCAGTCAGATCACGCACCCAGGCCCTGGAGAGAAGAGGGATGTGGTGCCATGTGTGATGGCCAAGTTTCTTCAGCTTTTTGATAGCAAATGGGGGTCTCCTTTCTACTTCCACTTTCTCCCTCTGTGTCTCTCTTTTGTCACCCCCCTGGGCCTCCAGATGTGCAGTCACATGGCTGATTCTGACTCCCTCCTCCCTCCAGCACTGTATGCTCAGTGTGGGGAGGAACCATCTGTCTTCCTCCTGTAAGCAACCGTCAGTCTGTGAGCCTGTGCCCACACGATTAGGGAAATAGCCTTCTCTCTCTTCCTGACCCTTATCTCAAAGGTGTTCCTACCCCAGAGTATCCTGGGCTCCACACTGTACTATAGACCCACACTAGCCTGAGTGGCTGAGCTTAGTGTCTCTCTTCTTCCTTGGCTCTCACCCCTGCAATTGGCCTCCACCCCTTCAACTCCCTGGAGGCCTCTGGTCTCTAGTTCCTCCTCAGGCTCCAGACTTGCCACCAAGGCCCATAGTTCAAGGTCAGCATGCTCCCAGATCCAGGTGTGTGGCCTGTTTACATCTGGGCCCTGGGTTGCTATATCCCCTTCATGAAAGTCCCTGTGTTGTGTTGCTCCTACTATTGGAGGTGAGGAGAGGCCTACACGTTTGCAAAGCCTCATTTGCTAAG